CCCTCAACCCCTGCCTCGGGCCTTCCCCGCGGCGCTCTCTGAACCACTGCTGGCGTCTCCGGGGTCTGCGATGGAACCAAAGGGCCCCCGCATCCGGGGGCCACCCCACACCGTCGCCCTCTGTCTGTGGTGGAAAGTGCACTCCACAGGTAACAAAGCAGCGGGTCAGACCACGCCTCTTTACCTTCCTCAGATATGGCCTCAGCCCGCTGCCAGGGGTAAAGCGCACTGTGAGAGAACTCTCAACTACGGCTGCAGTTTCTCATGGAGGCTGAGCTTTTGGCAGGAGGTCTGAACAGCAGTCCTTCTGGTGGTGCAGCCCGTGACTGACGGTTTCTTTCAACTGCCCCGTTACACCCCTGGGAAGGACACAACCCTCATGAGGATTGATGGACACGCTTTTGACAGAACATGGTTTCATATTACACTGCAAGACTCCTGGGGGCTGCATAAAGTGACTATTGGCTGCTACCTTCTCGTGGAGTCGACCTGGCACAGGTCACACCCGTCTGATAAGGCATAATGAAAAAATAGCCTCGAGAGAAAGTGCTTCCCTAGGCCCAAAATGCCCATGCATGTACAAATGTGTATACTTTGTGCAGAGAAGATAAAAGACCAAAAGTCAGTCTGGGGGATGAAGCCCAAAGCTCGATTCTGGTTTCGAACCTAACAGGAGTGGGGAGGGGTGATCAGCTACAGACAACTGATAGACTTGCTACAATAGGAATGCAATGGGAAGCCACGTTCCAGTGTCTAGAAGTATCGTGCTGCAGACGAAAAGGAAAGGACAGTAAGGTACTTGTTCTGAATACTAGGAGTGGCTGGAAAATTAACTGCAGGCCTGACCAAATACCCATCAATTACAGACTTCTGTATTTCAACCTTCTTGGCTAGGCTGGGGAGAATCAACTTACCTTGAAATTTGCAGGCAATCGTGGAATTCAAAACCAAACCAGGCTCCTAAATTTTGCTCAGATACACCTCCTGAAAACTAGCTACTCTCAAAGAAACTCAGCAGTCCTCAGGAAGAAGTGTCTGCTTCCGACAGCTTTCTGCCCGACACCAGGAGACGAAGGCCGGGTACTCACCGTCCTCCATGTCCTCCTCCGTGTTACTGTGCCCGTCACTCATGGCCACATTCCCGTTGATAACAGGGTTTTGGGTAATTCTCGGTGGGTCATCTGTATCTCCAGCTTTAAAGGAAGCAAAGAAATCCCATGAGTTTTACCTTCCTGGCTTGGATCAAGTAAACAAAAACATATCTGTACTTTGGACGACTTCCAGTCACCAGTACGTTCCAACCGTGCCAAATAATTGCACTCTAACCCAAAAGTATGGGTATGTTTACTCATATGTTCGCTAAACAAACTTTTGTTCCTTTCAAAATGCTAAGTGGGATCTGAACACACAATAATCTGCTGAATTTGCAATGAAATTTATTTTGAAAAAGGTTTCTACTCATTAAAACTCAATCCTAGAGAAAATATTGTTTGGGGGGTTACTAAAACAGTGTACGTTAGAATCTTCCATCATGGACACACATGCCTTGAAACAGCAAGCTCATTTTCAAACTGTTACTGGACACTTCAGTTACATAATTATATAAAGTATGAATCCATACCAAAGAACAGGAATGGCATTTTGGGGTGTGGGGAATTTGAAAAGGGGGTCCCTAGGAGGATGAGAATGGACAAAGATCCAAGAAAGGATCTCGAGACTAGCAAAATGCTTGCTGAAGGCTGGTCTGGAAAACATTTATATAAAATAAGAAGCGAGGATTTAAAACTTTTAACCAAGGACTGGCAAATATGAAGTGTAAACTCCAACTGTAACATTCCCATCCCTCTTCAGTCACTGAGTACAATCTTCTTCCAGACATAGGGCCATGGTTTAAGAGAAAAAAAATTTAAACTTCTGGCAGGACTTAGGATTTAAACAGCCTCTACTGGTCAAAATGGCCATACTTCACATTTAAATCCTGTCCTGGCATATAGAACAGTTTACTGCAACTAATGATGTCCTGTGTTTCCTTGTATGGTCAGCTTTCCCTGGCAATTCAGACACTCCAATAGAAATGAAGAATATCAGCCACAAGCAGGAGATGTGGTTTTTAAAGTAGCTACATAGCTATGTCCTTGGACTCCAGTATTTCAGAGCCTTTATACCACTCCAACAAGCAGTGGGTCTGATTCAGCACCACGGACAGCACCTTTCCCCTCTAGGCAAGTTCCAACCCCCAATTGTCAGGTTACATTTCTCAAATAATTCCTAAATAAACTGCCTTTTTTTCTTAAGTATCTCAAAACACACCTTAGAGTTCCTTGGAAGCCAAGAAAACAGGTATTACCACCCAAATTTAGACCACTGCCAATCTTGATGTTTTTGTTCTATTAAATATCAATAAACCAGTGAAGCTGCTCAGTCATGTCCAGCTCTTTGCAACCCCATGGACTGGAGCCCACCAGGCTCCTTCATCCACAGAATTTTCCAGGCAAGAATACTGGAGTGGGTTGCCAAGAAGGATCTCCAGGGGATCTTTCTGACCCAGGGATCAAACCCAGGTCTCCTGCATTACAGGCAGATGCTTTACTATCTAGGCCACCAGAGAAGGCCAAAGTGAAAGTCGCTCAGACATGTCTGACTCTTTGTGACCCATGTATAGTCCATGGAATTCTCCAAGCCAGAATACTGGAGTGGGTAGCCTTTCCCTTCCCCAGGAGATCTTCCTAACCCAGGCATCAAACCCAGGTCTCCCACATTGCAGGCAGACTCTTTACCAGCTGAGCCACTAAATATCAATATATACATTTAATTTTTTGTCAGGGTGTCAATAAAAGCTGTTTATGAAAACACAATTTTTAAACTGGCTCCCTCAATCATGACACCCTGACAAAAAAACTGGGGAAAGAAGTAAGGAAAGTAGAAATTCCTTTTCCTGTTGCTTATCTAGCTTGAACCACATATGCTAAAAAAGTACATTGACTGAAATTTCCACATTTACCCTCCTAAATTAATTAACCATTAATTAACCATCAAAAAATATTTTGAGGAAAAATTCTACAAAGGCCTATGAAATAAACAGCACACTCCACCAATGGAGTATTATACAGCAGTTTTTAAAAAGATTCTCAGGGAATTCCCTGGCAGCCCAGTCGTTAGCACTCACACTTTCACTGCCCAGGGCCCAGGTTCAATCCCTGATCGGGGAACTAAAGTTTCTCAGTGTACCTGTATGAGGTTCTGAGTTAACAGTATTAAGTTTTTAAAAATGAAGATGCCATATCTATCATCATAGCTATAAAAGAGATAAGAGTTTTCGTGGAGTAAGACTATATAAATTCGTATTGCCCTTTACAACGATAAACAAACATGGACTAGAACACAAACTAGTACGTGGTTCTGAAGCAGCAGTGACTCTCCACTGCAGACACACACACACATCACACGAATGCACCAGAAATCTGAAGCCATTTGCTCGACATGTGCCTGGTACTTCGCCTTTAGTTTCTCAGGTCTTCAGAAGAGCTTTAAAGCATGGTTGGAGGTGCACACATGCAAAACTGACAGAAGTTTCTCTGAAGCTGGCTCCTAAAGGCACGGCGGGTAGGGTATGGTTCCACAGTTAGAATGTCTCCTGAGCACCGTCCCATCTTTTACACAGCACACGCTCCTGCTGGGCTGACCACTTTCCCACCCTTCACAGGCTCGGCGACAGTGGTCCAGGCCGGTAGCGGTGAAACTGCAGAAAAGCCCCCTGCTGGCCCATGACGCACACTCAGAAACTGCCAGCAGCAGGCCCTCCCAATCAACTGGCACGGGACCCTTGCAGAAAAGGTCAGCAACTCAAGTCTAGCTCCTAAGGGACTGAGTATCCAGTTAAAATAAGCTCCTCTTAAATGAGTTAGTTCAACAAAAGGATTAAAAATTTAATTAAGACACAGTAAATCCCTGGACCAGAATTAAATGATGGAAGTGCCTGATATCACAATCTGAACTAGGCTTCCAGAAATATCCTAAACGATAAGGCTGTCTTTATCATCAAGGAAGAAGTGCAAGATTGGCATTTATGTTTATTTATCACCATATAAACTGATCCTGTTCTGAATTTCATGTCTTGCCCAACTGGAATTTTCCCAGATATGTTAACTCTTATTCGGCCAGATATGAATGACGACACAATGATTACAAACACCAGTGACAATACAGAATGCCTCAAATATACAGACCAAATCTCTGGTACACTTAAATGTCAGGGAGGGGAAGGGGGTGATTATCATTCTGAAATATACACAAGACGCCCAGAAATACAACATATCATTTCCATTACTCATGATTAGTAGGCCTTTTGACAACAGCCTTGTGATAGCGTCAGTGGCAAATTTTAATATATACACATGGCTCAAAATACCTTTTTAAAAGAGTGACTTAGAAACACAAAAGCCTCCCCTGTTTAGTTACAAAGCCTGCACTTCCTCCTTTTTTACTGGGACTCCCTGTGCCTATATCTAGCTTTACTCTTCCCAGACCTCTGTGATGTCACAACCCGGAGCCACTGACCCAAACAGCACTGGCCAATTGCTATGGAAATGAGGTGGTCCCGATTTAGTGCCCGAATCTCACTCCTGGAGGAGAAAAACAGAAAATTCCACTTTGATGGCCTTGATGTCTTCCATCACTTCACAAACTTCTCCCAAAAAGGTTGGGGAGAGGGGACCAAACAACTCCAATAAAACCTCACGGCCTTCCAACTAAGTCTGTATGCTGCCCCCAAGGAGGTAACTGGGCCACAAGGGTCCAGCCCCGCCTCAGAGTCGCTCTCCACTCAGAACCACCCCCCTTCAAACTTCTCCTCAAAATCCCAACTAGTGATACAACCCCATGAGCAAAACCCACAACCTGGTTTAAAAGGGCAGAAAGGGTAAGTGGAGTGCCACAGACACCACGCAACCTTGCATGAGTGGGTCCTTGGATGGGTCAAGCAGAGCCTCACCAGCCCAGCTTAAGCCCCGCCCCGCCCCACCAGTCCACCCTGACTTCCGGGTCAGAGCCCCGGGGCTTCTGCCTGGGCCCCCTCCTCTCCTCTCGGCGTCATGAGGCCCCACTGGGGGCCAGTCACCTCCTGGTCCAAGCACGCAGCTCCCCGCCATGTGAGTCTGCAGCAGAATCTGCTGGGGGTGGGGGAGGGGAGGGCAGGGTTCTCTCAGCCACATCAGAGTGACTGCATAGAACCTCCAGGAGCTCTCACTCACCATTCTCTTTTTAAAGCTGCCCACAGTTCTCAGGCCCAGACACATAATCAAGTAACCATCAATGGAGATGATCACCTTCAAAAGGCAAAGTGGTTCAGAAACAGAGTTCTGTACAGGTCCAAACGGAGATGTGCATATATATCCTGTTTCAGCTCCATCACTTCCTCTCAAGAATTCAGATACACTTGATTTCCCAAGGTTCTGATCCACAAAACCCCTGGCTCTGAGCTCAAAGAAGCAACTGATAACTCAATGGTGAGAGACAGAAGATGTACCACTCCTGCTGAGCTGGGCTGAGAGGCTGGGCTGGTTATAGGAAGACGTGGTGGGGGGTGGGGGTGAGGTGGGGTTGGGGGCGGGGGGCAGGCAGCAGCTGGGGCCCTGCCCCCAGCAGAGGACAGGGAGGAGGGGGTCCGAGAAGGCTTCCACAAAAGCAGGGACCCACAGGTGTCGGCTGTCATACTCCCCAAGGAGCCAGAACGTCCTGGGTGTTGGGAAACAATTCTGGACGCCCCTACAAAACCTACAATTCTGTGGGAGAACTTTGTGCTCGGTGTCACTCCCGTCCCCCTGGGGGAGTCTCAGGGCGAGCCAGGCCTCCACAGATAGAGAAGACAGAGGATGCGTCCTCGGGCAGAACGTGGAGGTCACCGAGGACACAGACATGGAGCGGAAGGGCCAGTCTGAGCTGTCTGTTCTCACGCAGGTCAACCACCCCAGCAGCCACCGGGCAGGAAGGAGCCGGTGCCGACCAGGCCACAGAGCCCACGGGCTCTGCCGACAAGCTCAGTCCCATCCCAGCCCAGTCAGACAAGGACCACGGCGCCCGTGGGCTGTGAGGAAACGCCCTCCCTCCCTCTGTGCAACCTCCTAGAACTGGAAAACTTCGACTATGCTTCAAAAGAGTCATTTCAAATCCATTATCACATTACCAGGCTCTCCATCCCCTCAAGGGGTGGACTCCCTTCCTGACACTGGTCTTCTGCACACACGACTCACTTGGGAGGTGGGGGCGGGCAGCCCTCCTCTCAGAGGTCAGTCCCGCTTCTTAGCAAGCATCGAGATGTGTCAAGAGCAGGCTGGGCCGGGCGGCGGGGAGAACTGATGAGCAGTCCCTGGACACAAGGTTGCTAAGGTGACAGAGGGACAGACAGACCCGGACCAGGGGGAGGGACCGGCCACCCAGACAGCAGTCCCGAGAAGCACCTGCCAGGCTCCACAGGGAACAGGAACCAGGCAGCGGGCAGGCACGGGGGTGGGCGGGGCCTTGAAAACCCCGGATGCACACAAGCACCCATCCCAAGAGGAACCACCTGTGGGCCGGAAGCACGTGCCACTCGGAACAGGGGGTCTGGACCTGGCTGCCAGCCCCAGGCAGCCATCTGACACGAGCCTGTCCACCCACCGTGGGCCTAGGCGTCCGTCCGAAGCTGGTCCTGGGAGGAAGTGGGGAGTGTGTGAGTGTGCGTGTGTGTGTGTGCGTGCGTGCACGTGCGTGAGAGCGAGCGAGGGAGCTTCTGAGCTCTCATGCCCCTGGCCCCTGGGCAGGGCAGCCTCCAGTGATTCTAGACTTCCTCTGGTCACGTTAACAATGAGACCGTGACTTAATCAACACTAAGGTGTGTTAACACATGTTAACTTGTGTTCTGGGTTTCATTTTTATATGCTCTGGGTCCGTGTAGGGAGCTGGAAGCCCACTTGCGGGTGGTGTCCGCCCTGCTAAACCAGGGCTTCTCGGCTCCTGCCTTGCAGAGAGCCTGAAAGTTCCAAGCAGACGCAGTGTGCGGAAGCCCGACGGTGGGCTCCATATCTTAAATAATTCAGATTTACATCAGTTATAGGAAAATAAAGCCCCAAGGAAGGCCACGGATAAACTTGTGTGCCTTAAATAAGACTATTTGTTTGGGGCTCTCCATTTGGCTTCATTATGCAAAAATCGTCTGTTCTCTGGAGGACCATGCTAACCCGCCATCACATCTGCCCCACAAACCATGACTGCGGACTGGTGTGGACACTGGCCGGGCGCGGAGAGGGGCGTGCACCCAGCCCAACTGAGGAACTTATAACTACGTCCCAGCTGCTTTCTTACACGTCCAATCTCATCTGCTCTACTGCGTAGGGCTGTCCGGTTGCCGAGGAGGAAAAGGAGCCCCAACAAGCCCAGCAAGGGGGACGACGTGGACGCCCCAGGACGGAGGATGTTTACGAGCAGCCTGCAGCAGCCAGAGGATTCACAAGATGCTGAAGTCAAGACGACACAAGCCAACTGCAGCCAAGGACAGTCCCGAAGCAACACAAGTGACAAGTACGCCCAACTCCCCTCATCAACAGGACAGCCCTTCTCGTCTACCACATCAACAGTGAAAAATACTAGAGATGCCCACAGATGCGGAGGGCCTCATATCACAGAATGGGTGCCAAGTGGCTGGAGTCTAAACTTACAGTCAAACCATTCTCCCCAAAGGCAAGAGTTATGAAAGCCGAAGTCATAACTCAGAATGCCAGTTCTAAATATCTATTCTCAGAAAACTAGCATACATGCCCCAAACTGTACACAAGCATGTTTCTTACACCTAAGCACGTTTCACAGAGAAAAACTTTATAAACACAAGTGCTCGTTAATTCTAAGAGCCATCTGTGGTATGGCTCCATCCATTCATATCAGGTGTCCAGAAGAGTGATTTCCACGGAGTTAGAAGGCAGACCAGTGGTTGCCCAGAGCTAGAAGGAAGACTGGAAGGGTGATGGCTGAGGTGCACAGGGGTTTCTTTTAGGTATCATAAACCAACTGCAGTGATAGGTGAATTATGTTTATTAAAAACTGCTGAATTGCAGGGTATATGGAATATCTCAATAAAGCTGCACTGTTGGGGCGGGGGGGACAAGAACGGAATAAAACAGGCCGTTTTGCGTGGGGACAAACCAGTTTTATAGCAGAGCCATCCGGAGGGCTCTGCACGGAACTGCTGTGTGCCCTGAACACCTGAAAGTGAAGGTTGCATCTGACTCTTTGTGACCCCATGGGCTGTATCAGGAACACGGGAATGGGTAGCCCATCCCTCCTCCAGTGGATCTTCCCAACCCAGGACCCGATCTGGGGCCTCCTGCACTGCAGGCGGGCTCTCCACCAACCGAAGCTGAGCAGCTGGGGCAGGTGTAGACGCCCTCCTTTCTGCACTATTTCTCTAGAAATAAACACTCTGGGGCTTCCCTGGTGGTTCAGCGGTGAAGAACCCACCTGCCAATGCAGGAGACCAGTTCCATCTCCGGTCGGGGAAAACCCCACACGCTGGGGAGCAGCTAAGCCCGTGCGCCTCAACTACTGAGCCCACGAGCCTGGGAGCTCTGCGACGAGAGGCCGCCACAGTGAGAAGCCCCCGGCCACAGCTAGCGAGCAGCCCCTGTCCACCACCGCTGGAGAGAAGCCCACGCAGCGACAAAGGTCCAGCACAGCCAAAGATAAATAAATAAAAACACAGATCCACTGCGGTGTTCGGAAAACCCACCTATCTATAAGATGTGTGTGTGTGGATTCACCCCACGTAGTTTTAAAGAAAGCGAGACTATGAAGGGAGAAGGCCCACCCAGAGAGGACTCAGTGAGCAGAAGTCCTTAGGGAACAGAGCAGTGCGCGTGGGCAGGACAACACCCCTCATGCATTAAGTACAGTGTTCACCCCCTGGATGGAGTCTTGCCTGCCCTCCTGTTGCCTCAGCAAGTACATGCCTTTACAGAAAAGGTAAAACCACCCAGCAGCTCAGTTTGGTTGCTCAGTCTCGTCCAAGACTCTTTGCGACCCCACAGCGCAGAGAAAAGGGACAAGCAGAACACAGCCGGAGGCCTGGGAGCACCCGGCCAGGCTGCAGCAGGAAGGGAAAGGGGGCAGGAGGCAGCGGGACTCCTCCAGCAGACCCCTCACAGAGGGACTGCCTCAGTGATCTGTGACCGCGACGGTCATCCGCGTACACCTGGGCAGACAGCAACAGCCGCCCGTAAACGCCTGCATTTTCTACTCACGGAGACAAGGAAATCCGGGCACTGAAGAATGGGGTCAGAAGCAGAGGAGAGATTTTAAAATACACACTCTGACTGTGCTAATTAAAACTTAAAGAAACCAGTCAAGCACAGCCCATGTCAGGGAGTTCCTTTATTTGTGCGAAGCCACAAACTGCACAGCCGGGGACGGAGGACCAAGCCGGTTCTGGCTGGCGTCTTTTCTCTCCCCACGTTGGCGCCACTGGACTATCATCACTCAGGCCGGACCCTCCTTTTTGGGGGGCCACCCAGGCTATCAAGGAACACTTACATCCAAGACCTTCTAAAAAAACTAGTGTTGAAAGAGGAGGAGGAAGACTAGTTTCCCAGGGAGAGTCACCAGAGCAGGAAGACAGACCACGTTCAAGGGCTGCAAGGCGGGGTGAAGACCTCAGTTCTCCCCAAGTCGATGTGTGTTGATACACAATTATTCCAGTCAAATTCCCAGCACATAAGGGAAGCAATTCTGAAAGGAGCAGTTGAGTTGCTTCAGCAGCTAAGATGGAGCTGTGTTAGCAAAGGGGTGGACACAGAACAACAGTACAGGAGAGTCCACAAAAACGCCCGTGTCAACATTACTGCCTGATTCTTGACAAAGGTGCAAGTAATTCAGAGGAAAGGAGATAGTGCTTTCAACAAACAGTAAAGAAAGAGTTGGATGTTCACAGACAAAAATAAATAAATAAACTGCAACCTCGCACCTTACACAAATACTAACTCACAATGGATCTCAGGTGAACAAACATTTAAACTTTAAAAAGTAATCATGTGATACCCAGCAAAGAACTGTTAGACATAACACCAAAAGCCAAGATCCATAAAAGAGAATTTTGATAAAATGGACTTCTCTGTAAAGACACCATTAAGGGAAAAAACAGACAAGCTACAGGTTGGGAGACAGTATTTTCAGATCGCCTGACAAAGGACTTACACTAAATACATCAAGAGCTCTCCAGACTAGACAGCAATAAGAATTTTAAAAGCCCGATACTTAAGCAGACACGTGAGAGAGGGTACAAGGATAGCAAATAAACAGAAAGACGTGTGCCTGGGCTATTAGGTAGCTGTGAATTAAAACAACCGCCACCTCTAAGATGACTGAGATGAAACCTCTGGTGAGGCTGAGGCGGCGGTGCAGAGGACCCAGGCACACGGACGGCAAGCAGGTGGGCAGTTCCCCGTGGAGCACGCCTCACCCAACAACTCGACACCTTCCTCTAGAGAAACGAAGACTCATGTTCACACAAAAGCCTGAACATGGGTATTTATAGTGGCTTCATTTGTAACTGCCAAAAACTGGAGACAACCCAGATGTCCCTCCGTGGAATAGAGCCCAGCAATAAAAAGCAATGAACTACCGATCAGGTTACAAGCTGTACGATTCTGCAAGACGACAAGGCTGCATGGAGACACAGGAGCAGCTCAGCTTGGCGTGAGGGGCAGCTCCGGGTCCCGCTGGGCCGGGGGGGGGAAGGCGCACAGACCTGCCCCCGAGCTCAACGTCGAGCCGCTGACCACGCTGCCGACTTTGCTGTATGTAAAGGCAAAGGGAAAAAACACCTGTAGGGCAAGGAGAAGAATATGATTTACCAACTCTCTAAATAAACACCGCCTTGGATTACAAGTTCAGAACTTTACCCACATGGGAAAAGAAAGCAGAGAACAAAAGATGCAGTCTGAGTCTTTCCACCTAGGAACTGGGGCGGTCTTGTCCGTGAATGCCTGCAGCTCAGCTCGTTTTCTCTGGGGGGAGAGGGCGTCAAGGACGTCAAGGAACCAGGAAAATGGGAGGTCAGATACACACTCTGCTCCAGGGAACCCAGGTACAGAAACAAGCTGTGCTGTTTCAAAAGCT